TTGAGCAAGACCTGGGGAAGGAATGGGTTGCGGGGGTGGGGGAGCAAAGAGGAAAATTTGTGGGCTGAGGGTGAGGGAGTCTGCGATCTTCAGAGACTCTCCAGGCAGTAAGGAGCAAGTGAACTACTGTCTCGGGGCCCTCTCCTGCTGGCCCTGACCAGTGGCCATACATCAGGCTTATTGATATTCAACCCAGCAAATCTGCAGGGCCCAATGTGATGGCTCAATAGCTAAATCCTCACCTTGCAAGTGCCTGGATCCCATATGAGTGCTGATTCATGTCCCAGCTACTCTACTTCCTGTGAAGCTCCCTATTAATGGACTTGGAAAGCAGTCAAGGATGGCCCAAAGTCTTGGGACCCTGCACCCGCATGGGAGACCCGGAAGAAGCTCCTGGTTCCTGCTTCCAGATCAGCTCAGCTCCAGCCATTGAGGCTACTGGGGGAATGAACTAGCAAGTGGAAGATTTTTCTCTGTCTCCTCTCTCTGTAAAATCTGATCTAGCCTCCAATAAAAATAAATAAATCTTTTTAATAAAAAAAGAATCTGCAAATCTCCCTGTTATGGCCACAGTGATCTCAATAAAAGGGCACCCAGAGAGTGAGCAGGGGGGCAGAGGAGGTGGGGAGGGAGTTGGGGCAGGGGGAGCTACGAGTGAGCTATGAGCGGAGGAAAGGGGTTCTACAGATTCCAGCATCTGCTCAGGGGTCCCCACAGGGACCATCCAGCAGCCTCACGGGGCCCAGTACAGGGCGCAGGTGACTGGGCAGCTGTGGCAATGCAGGTTGGCATCCTTCATGCAGTAACTGTACAAAGTTGCAGAGGAATCTGAGATTTGGGGGAGACATTTCCACGGCCAGAGTCGCACGGTGAGGAAGTGAGGGCCAATCATGTTAAGGAAGAAGAGGGGGCCCGGTCACGGTGAGGCACAGAGTGGCCCAGTCACAGTAAGAAAGTTGGGCAGCCTGGTCTGCAGCGGATGGTGACCCCAGAGCCCTTACTCTCTGTCAGTGAAGGTTTCAAGATAGCACACCAAGGCCAGCCTGCATGGCTCATGTCACTCATTCAGCCATTCTCTCATCCTCCCACATTTCCCAGGACCAGACAGTCCCACCGCTCTCCTTCTCTGTCCCGCCACGTCCAGGTGCCACACACCCTCTGCACGAGGTGCCCTCCTGGGCTGTCCTCAGGCTGGGAAATGAGGCTTGCCTCCCCGTTCTCTGCTCTTCCATCCCATGAGCCACTGGGCCCTGGAGGTGTCCATGACATCGGGCAACACTTCCATGCAGCACCGCTGAAAAGCCATGGGCCAAGCAGCGAGGGCCTCAGAGCCACCCGCCAGGCTGGAGCGATGCCTTCCAGGTCTTCCCTCCCTCATCCATTAGTTCATTCATTATCCTGTGTCTGTCCAGGACTACCTGGAGTCTAGGCCATACACACACAGACCTGGTTCACAGAAGTGGTGTTGTAGCCGGGAGTACAGGCTAAGGACAGAGCTGACAGTTATGACACTGACAATGACAGGACGCAACCCTGGAGAGAAGAAAAAGGTGGGCGCTGTCGGGGCCAAGTGGAGACCACTTGGGAGGCGTGGCCAAGGATGGCTTCTCCCGCGCAGCTGCAGATAGCTCACTTGGGAGAGAATTTGCTCCGACAGGGACCTGTGCAAGGCGGAAGGTGTGGTGGGGCTGCTGAGGTTCAGCGGTGCCAATGGGAGATGGGAGGAGATGAGCCTGGTGGGCCAGTTCCTTCGGGGGTCCCAGAGCTGCTACCAGCTCCAGGAGGATGATTAACACTCACTTGTATTAGACAGGAGATGTTTGCTGGGCTCACCTTGTGGACAGGTATGACTGTCTCTGCTCCTCTGTGTCTGGAGAACCCCTGCAGACCTGGCCCGGGCCCCTCTGTCGATTGGGTGACCCCTGGCAATGGAAGGTCTGGGGGCTTTTCTGCTCCAGTGCTGGCATTCCGGTGCCCCTGGCATCTTATTTACTCTGTACTGAGGCCTTTGACTGGTTTTGAGTTGGAAAAAGGGTCAAGTTTCAGTGTCTATATATCGATCTCGTAGTTCCCAGCACCACTTGCCGAAGAGGCTGGCCTGTTCGCTCTGCGTTCGTCAGGAACGGTTTGGCTGTAGGCTGAGCGGGTTATTTCCAGGATATCCCTTCTGTTTCACTGGCCTATCTTTACACCAGTACCTTGCTCTTTCGGTTACTACAGAGCTCTGAAATGAGCATTAACATCAGGCATTGTGACACCTCCAGTCACTATCTTAGCCTCCAGACATGCTCTTTCCGGTCAAGATTGCTTTGGCCATGCGGGATCTTCTGTGCTGGCACATGAATTTTAAGGTTGTTTTTCTAGTTCTATCAGCTCATTGGTGTTTGATGGGCATTGCATTAAGCCTGTGTATTGCTTTGAGTAGCAGGAACATTTTAACACTATTTCTCCCAATTTATGAATGCAGTGGATCTTTCAACTTTTTGTGAAGATTCCTAATTTCTTTCATCAGGGTTCTGTAATTCTTGTGGTAGAAGTCTTGGAATCCTCCTAAATTTGTTCTTAGATGTCTTATTATTTTGGCACCTTTTATGAATGGAATTGTTTTAGTGATTTCTTTCTCGGCAAGTTCATGACTACTGTATAAAAATATTACTGATTTTTTAAAAAGATTTTATTTATTTTTATTGAAAAGTCAGATATACCGAGAGGAGGAGAGACAGAGAGGAAGATCCTCCATCCAAAGGTTCATTCCCAAAGCCACCACAATGGCTGTGCTGAGCTGATCCAATGGCAAAAGCCAGAAACTTCTTCTATATTTCCCATGCAGGTGCAGGTCCCAAGGCTTTGGGCCGTCTTTGACTGTTTTCCCAGGCCACAAGCAGGGAGCTGGATGGGAATTGGGTTGCTGGGATCAGAACCGGAACCCATATGGGATCCTGGCACGTTCAAGGCGAGGACCTTAGCCACTAGGCCACCATGCTGGCCCCATGCTACTGACTTTTTATATGATGATTTGATAATCCTATAATTTTACTAAATTTATTTATCAGTTTTGTCTTTTGGAAGAGTCTTTAAATTTTTCTATATTAGAATCCATCATCTGCAAATACTGATGTCTTTTCTTTCTCTTTCTTATTTCTTTCTTTATGCCCTTTACTTCTTTCTCATGTCTAATTGCTACTAATATAATTTGCAATATGTAAGACTGACAGTGACGGCCCAGCATGATGGTTCAGTGGCTAAATCCTTAGCTTGCATATGGAGTATCTCGTAGGGATACCGGTTTGTATCCCATTTGTATACCAGTTGGACGCCAGTTCATATTCCAGCAACTCTACTTCCCATCCAACTTTCTGCTTTGTGCCCTGGGAAAGCAGTCAAGTACAGCCCAAAGCCTTGGGGCCCTGTACACACATAGGAGACCTGAAAGAGGCTGCTGACTCTTGGCTTTGGATCTGCTCAGCTCAAGCCAATGCGGCCACTTGGGGAGTGAACCGGGATATGGGACATCTTTTTGCCTCAGCCACCTGCTCTGTCCTTAGCCTGTCCCCCAGCTACAGCACTGCCTCTGTGTGTGAGGGAACCGGGTCTGTGTGTATATGGCCTGGACTCCAGGCAGTGCTAGCAGATTCAGGATAATGAATGAACCATTGGGTGAGAGGATGTGGAAGCTGTTAGTCCAGCTCTGTAAATCTGCTTTTCCAATAAAAATAAATCTTTAAAAAATTTAGTGACAGTGAAGAGAGGGGGTATGCATGTCTTGTTCCAGACACGTGAGAAAATTCTTGCATCTTTTCTCTTCAACGTTGGCTGTGGATCTGCCATATGCTAGACCTAAACCTTTGTCATGTTTAGGTGTGATGTTCTGGAGTTAATTTATTAAGAGTTTTTGTTTTTTGGGCATGGCATGATGGCCTAGCAGGTAAAGTCCTTGCCTTGAACAAGCCAGAATCCCATATGGGCACTGGTTCTAATCCTGGAAGCTCCACTTCCCATCCAGCCTCCTGCCTGTGGCCTGGGAAGAAGTCGAGATGGCCCAAAGCCTTGGGACCCTGCACCCACGTGGGAGACCTGGAGGAAGTTCCTGGCTTTGGATCGGCATAGCACTGGCCATTGCGGTGACTTGGGGAGTGATGCATTGGACAGAAGATCTTCCTCTCTGTCTTTCCACCTCTTTGTATATCTGCCTTTGTTATGAAAATAAAAGAATAAACCTTAAAAAAAAAAACCCCAAAAAACTACAGGGTCCAGCTCAGTAGCTTGGTGGCTAAATTCCTTGCCTTGCACATACTAAGATCCCATATAGACACTTGGCTGCATTCCTGAGCTGCCCAGGGGACTGATGGCTGGCAGTTGCAAGGCAGGGAGGAGCAGTGCAGGGTGGGCACCTGTTGCGGCCTCTGCTCCTCACACACCCTCCTTTGTCACACAGGGGCCAGTGTTTCCTTTGGAGCAGTGCAGCTGCACCCAGGTGGCCTGGGTCTGAGGCTAAGTGGGGCCTGCTTTGTTTGATCAGGTCAAAAGGAGGCCAGCCCTGAGGTGTCAGCTGTGTCATGGACCTCAGGGTCTCCTGGCCTGGGCTCACTCCCTCTGCACTGGCACTGCAATGAAAACAGGGATATGCAGGCATGTGTACCCCTGGAGCCCATTGAGGTTTTCATGGGAAAACCAACTGGAATTATCCTGGAGGTTGACCAGATGTACAACATCAGATTGGCATTATGATGCTTTATTTGTTGCTACTGAGGACAATGCAATGTTGACGACAGAATATGGAATGCAGCACTTACCTACTCCACATTAAAACACAAGAACCTGCGTCCTGACTTTCCCTGCAACCTTCCACAACCAGCCCAATGCCCTAGGCCCTGCAAGCCATGCTTCTCAGGCTGCTTTCCCCTGTCACACTGCAGTTAGCATCTTTGACACTCTGCCCAAACCCATCCCAGGTCCTTGCTGAAACTGTCCAGAAGGAAGATCTGGAAATGTGCACACAATTAGTCCAGCAGGTAGTACTTGTAAAATTTAGGTTCGTATTGGTAAAACACCATCCATTTTGCGGAATTCTCACAGGGCTTAGTGCTAAACACAACCTTCTTAGGCTCTCTTGTTCTTTTCAGCATACCCATCAGCTCTCTACACAGATGGAAAAACCTCTCCCGCTGGACAACACCCTGAGTGTCATAACAATCCAGGGGAGCTGGGTACTGCTCCACTCTCAGAGCACTGAGGTTGCCTGTGTGCTCCACAAGCTTTTCCATCATGGCCATGGAAATGCTGTTCCTGAAAAGACTTAAGGTGGTGAGCTGGTAGCACTGGCTCAGGGCAGGCAGGATGGTGTTAAGCTGGGAGTCAGTGATGTCGCAGCGCATCAAATCCAGGGTCATGAGGGTGGATGCCACTCTCTCCAGCAGAACTCGGAGGGGCTCCAGGCTGATGTGCGTCAGTTTGACACCACTCAGGTGCAGGTGTTTGAGTTCGCTGAGTTTTGGACACTGGGACAGATAGCAGACATCAGCTTCGGAGAGCTGGCAGGCTGTTACAGAGAAGTCCTCCAGGGGGCTCTTCAGGTACCTGGGGAGACACCAAGAATGAATCCTTCATGATGACACCAAGGTGAGAGACATCTGTTTGTGCCAAGCCCCAAAACCCCAGATCCCACTCATGCCCACCCTCACCAACACCCAGTGTGCTCCAGCCCAGTGCAGACCCGTCCTTTCAGTTAACCACTCTCAGGCTGAGTCCTTCCACTGCCACTGGAGGGACTGGGTCAAGTTCACAAAACCTCTCAAGGTATCTTTCCTCACCTGTCCAGCAGAATGTGACTTGTCTGGACAATGAGTGCCCAGGTGGGGACACGGATAAAGCCCAGACCCTGGACAGGTGCAGCAACAGCCCTGTGGGTGCCCTCCCAGGAGGCCTCACTCACAGCCCTGGACCCCAGAACCACCTGTCACCTTTCCCATGCATGTCTCATAGGTCACACACCTCCCTGGAGCTCCAGGCACCAGACCCAGGCTCACCCTGTCCACACAGGTGCTGAGTGGACAGCTGACATTTTATGGTGCCTTCTTAGCTGATCTACTTTTTCAAATACACTTCATGAAGAATAACCAAACTCATCCTTAAGTCAGAACCTGCTCCTTTCCTCAGGCAGCTAGCTTCCTGTCACTGAGCCCTCTTCTTCTATACTCATGCTCAGCATGAAGTAGGAACCCTCTCCTGTAGCACACTGACCTGTAGCTGCTGGCTGACCAATGCTCAAAGCCCACTCTGCCCTTCCAAAGTAGCTTGGTCTCTCACCTGAGCACCTGGTCCAGGTTGTCCTCCAGCAAGTTGACAGAGTCCATATGAAGGCCATGAAGATGGGGCATCTTGGCTAGATTGGAGCTGAAATTTGAGTTGAACTGCACCTTTTTCTCTAGGGTTATGGGGGTTGGGAAAGAGAGGTGGAAGACAGACAACTTGTGAAGGCTGCTCATCCGGCCCATGTAGGGAGCAAACTTCGCCAGGGTGGCGAGTCCCCAGACAGAGTCCACTTCCACCTCCTGGATGCAGCCTAGCTCCAGAATGTCAAGGATTTTCCTGAAGCTGTGGATGTGCCTTGGCGAGATCATCAGGTTGTAACAGCACAGGTGCACCAGGCTGGCTCTCTCCTTCACCCACTGAAGCAGGTGGGGGAGGAACTCATCATTTGTGACCTCGGTGAGGGTGACGTTGGCTATGACCTTCAAGGCTGACTTGAGCCCCTTGTGCTCCACTGGCTGTCTCCTCATATTAGGCTCTGAAGAGCAGGCATCATCCAGGCTCTCGCCCCACACATTCCAGAAATTCAGACCAACATCCCGTAAATCCAGCACGTGCAGCTTCCCTCTCCTGGGGGTCAAACAGAGAAGACTCAGAGAGTAGGCAGAGGGGACTTCTGAGCTGGGGAGCCCGCACCTCACACCCCTGCTGCTGGCTTTCTTCCCATTTCCTCTTTGATTGATTTATTTATTTGATTATTTTGCCTTGATATATTTCTTGATCCTGACAGAGTTGAGGGGATGCAGGCTGAGAGACATGAGTCTTTAGGGAGGGAAGGGGCCCTCCCCTCAGTCTTTCATTCATCCCCGTTTGTGCAGGGCCCCTGCCTGGTCCCCACTGCCCAATGCTTTCAAGTACCCCTGGGAAGTGGCAGGAACGTGTCCCCTCTGTCACCTCAGGAAGCCCTTCCCCAGAGGGACTCATGGGTCCTGACCTCTCTTACATGACTCCCTTGCTATCCAAAGAAGCTTCTGGAACATCCTCCAGACCTCTACCCTTCCTGAGCCCAACTCTCTTTAATGGATCTCTGTGTCAGTTACCTGCAGTCAGACTTCTGGGTGTACTTCATATCGAGTCCATCCAACACAGCATTCAGGATATCTACTTGTGGCCACTTCATGAGGGCGCCCAGCGGGAGGACTTCAAAGGGCCAGACCATCACCATGGCCTTCAGGATGCTCAGGAGCCTCCTGTTGAAGGCCTCCAGGAATAGTGCAGGAAACGTCTCTCTGGGAAGCTGGTCCAGACTAAGGATGGCCAAGGCCTCATTATCCAGCAGGCTCTTCTGTGCCAAGTGCAGGAGTCTCGGTGGGGTCATGCTGCTCATCCTGCTGAGTGCTCAGTGACAACCCTGGGGAAACATTCAGAGAGAAAAGACCTTTCAGGAGAGCTCCCAGCAAGCCCTGAGCCACCAAGTGTAGGACCCCATCTCAGACTTCTGCCATGGAAGTACAGGACTGCTGAGTCACGCCAATTCTCTGTGCCTCTGGACCACACTTCACACTTCCGCCTCACCCGACACTCTGACAGTCCTCAGGCCCTGAGGTGGCTGTAATGGGTCTGGGGTCCATCTGTACCATGTCACCAATGTGAGGACTAGTGAGGCAGCCTGCAAATGCCCTCACACTGGAAGGAACTAGTGACCATCATTCAAGGCCCTAAAGCAACAGAATCGCTCATGCCAGGTGGCCCACACTGCCAATCCACTCAGACACACTTTTGGAAAGGCAGAGTGGCAGAGAGGAAGAGACAGACTTTCCTGGTACTTGTCTGTTCCCCAAATGCCAATTTACACCTGGAGCGGTGCCAGCCAAAGCTGGGAGCCAGGACCCACTCCCGTCCTGATCAACTTAGTCGTGGGACTCCATGCTCTTGTGCCGTAAACTGATTTTCCCAGGTGCCCCAGCAGGAAGTTAGCTGTAAATAGAAGTGGGAGTCCATATCAGGCAGTTACCTTGATATCAAATACTAAAATCTACTTAAAATCAACTGGAAAAAAAAAAAAAGGTAAGAATCTACTACAAGGGGCGTTATGCAATAAGCAGTTTTCCACTCATTACCTGGACGTGTGGAAGACCTGATACAATACCGATAACATGCATGTTATATATGTCTGATTCAAACTGATTACCGAACTTCCTTTATTATGATTTTAATTGGAAAGTCACATAAACAGACAGGAGGAGAGACACAGAGGAACATCTTCCATGCATTGATTCATTCCCAAAGTGGCTGCAACAGCGGAAGCAGAGCTGATCCAATACCAGGTGTCTGATTTTCGTCCTGGTCTTCCAGGCAGGTGTAGGGTCCCAAGGCTTTTGGCTGTCCTCTACTGCCTTCCCAGACCACAAGTAGGGAACAGGTGAGAAGCAGGGCCCACTGGGATTAAAACCTTCAAACATGTGGGATCCGGCGCTTGCAAAGCAATGATTTTATCATTTGGTGACTGCAATGAGCCATGTACATTTTACTTTTTAATAAAAATAAATCTTAATTTTAAAAAGTCTGGAAAAGAAATAGGAAGACCTAAAATTAGCCTAATTGTGCTTCAAGAATAAATCAAACAAAACAATACGACAGCTAAGTAATTAAAGAACTCCAGCCAAAGGATAAATGAATTTAGTAAAGTTGCAGAATATGTGTGAAGTACTTGGGTCCCGGCCACCCACATGCGTAGGAGGTTTGAATTCAGCTCTATTCCAACTGTGCAGGTAGTTAGTGGGGAATAAAGGGCTGAATATCTGTTTCCTCTGGCTTTCTAATGAAACAATTCATAGTAACAAACAACAACAGTAATCTTGTGTTGATATTCTTGCCTTGCAAACACATGGATCCCATATGAGCACTGCTCTGTATCCAGGTTGCTCCCCTTCCCATCCAGCTCCTCCCTTGTGCCCTGGAAAACAGTAGAAGATGGCCCACACCCTTGGGACCCTGAACCTGTGTGAGAGACCCAGAGGAAGCTCTTGGCTCCTGGCTTCAGATCGGCTCAGCTCTGGCCATTGAGGCTGATGGCTAACCTGCACACTGGAGGTGAGAGGTTGGATCTGCTTCAGCCCGGAATGTCTCCCAGGCTTCAGCCCAGAACAGGAGGGGCCATCAGAGCCAGTTAATTCCCCAGACTGGCGAGAATCCAACCAACCAATGATATACCTTAGTGGATTTTCCTTATCTAAATAGGGCATAGACTGGCCCTTTGCCAACCCACATGTCTAGAGGAGTATAAAACTCCTTAACACATAATTCATCCACCCTTTTCTTTCCCCCCCTTTTCCCTCCATTCTGTGTGAATTGGGATTGGAGCGGATTTTCCAATTAAGCTTCAGTTACAACTATGGACAACTTATTCACCAGTGGGTGGGAGATCAGGGGTCATCATCTAACAGGGGCCACATGCAGAATGAACCTGTGATTCTTTCTGTGTCTCCTTCTCTCTGTAAATCTACCTTTCCAATAAATGCAAATGTTAAGAACACTTAGAAAAAAGAGAGAATCTAATGCTGCAAGACTTACATTTAGGACCACATATGTTATACCCTGGAGAAACAACTCAAGGCATGGGATTAGGCAGCGATTCCTGGATGAGATCACAACAAGGCGGGCAACAAAAGCAAAAATAGACAATGGGACTGGAGAAAGCTGGGAAACGTCACTCGAGGAACTGGAGTGAAGATCATACAAGAGCATTTGCAAACCAAAGAGTTCCTATCCACTATATAACCCTGTGAGACCCAACACTACAACCAAATAATCCAGTTGAAACATGGCCTGGACACAGATCCACCTGCAACACCCTTATCTCATTTGGGGAGTGAACCAGCAAGGACACAAGTCTCTCCCTCCCTCCCTGTAACTGCCTTCCACATGAATGCATCTTTAAAGGAAAAGGAAGAAAAAGGAAGGAGGAAACATCAAGGGAGGGATACTTGGTGATAAACAAGGAAATCTTGTCATTTGTAACCCAGTGGAGACAACTATGACATGGACTTGAGAAGTAAAATGAGCCAGACACAGCAATCAGCTGTGGTGCTTCAGGGAGGTGAGTGCAGGTGTGGGAGAGAGATGATTAGAGGCTGGGAGGGGTGAGGGAGGAGGCTGGGTAGCAAGTGCTCACAGTGAGAGGAGGGAAGGAGTCACAGTGCCCCACGGCATGATGGGAGCCTCAGGTTCAGAGTGAGCGACTCTGTACTTAATCACACAAGAGAAGAGTTCAAGGGCTCCTAACACAGAGAAATGCTCATTGCCTGACCAGACCAGGCCATCCTGTACACACGTGCTCAAATGCTACTCATTGCAACTCTACAAATGTGCCCACTTGCTATGGCTTAACCCAATTTTCTCTTTAAAATTTTAAAAATACAAGGCCCAACACAGTAAGTAGCCTAATTCCTCGCCTTGCATATGCCAGGATCCCATATGGACACTGGTTCTAATCACAGTGGCCCACTTCCCATCGTGTTCCCTAATTCTGGCCTTGGAGTAGAGTCAAGAATGGCCCAAAGCCTTGGAACCCTGCACCCATGCAGCATACACAGAAAGGCTCCTGGCTTCATATATGCACAGCTCTAGCCTTTGTGGCCGCCCCTTGGGGAATAGATCTCATCCTCTTAGTATACCTAATTTCTCATAAAAATAAATCTTTACAAAAATGTTTTTTAAAACCAACAGTCTGGGCCTGGCGGCATGGCCTATCGGCTAAATCCTCGCCTTGCACGCCCGGGATCCCATATGGATGCCAATTCTAATCCCGGCAGTTCCACTTCTCATCCAGTTCCCTGCTGATGGCCTGGGAAAGCAGTTGAGGACAGCCCAAAGCTTTGGGACCCTGCACCCATGTAGGAGACCTGGAAAGAAGTTCCTGGATCCTGGCTTCAGATCAGCATAGCATCGGCTGTTGCACTCACTTGCAGAGTGAATGATCAGACGGAAGCTCTTCCTCTCTGTCTCTCCTCCTCTGTCTATATCTGCCTTTCCAATAAATAAATAAATCTAAAAAAAAAAAAAAAGAGAGAGAGAAAGAAAGATACAGGCCAAAGTTGTCCAGCAGCAGGATGGGCTCCCATCTGCAACACCAGCAAGTCCTCTGATCCACCTGCTAGCAGGTCCCAGCTGCTCCACTTCCCAGCAAGCTCCCTGCTAGTGTGCCTGGGAAAGCAGAGGAACATGGCCCAAGTGCTTAGGTGCCCTGTACCCACATGGGAAGAAGACTGGGACACAATTCCTGGGCTGCAGGCTTCAGCCTGGCCGGGCCCCACTTGTTCTGGCCATGTGGGGAGGGAACCAGCACATGGAAAGATTTGTCTGGCTCTCTCTCTCAGTCACTGGGCCTTTCACATACAAATTATTAAGGAATTGGAAAAGCAGAACACAAACTATCTCAAGCGACATATCATAATTAGGCCTAAGATGTCCAACTCTAAGATGGCCCTCCCAGCCCCCACACTCCCAACCACATGCTGAAATCCAGGAGCATCTTGGGACAGTGTTTCACAGAGACCTGTAGCATTAGGGTCAAAGGAAGCCAAGGGAGAAACGGCTCTCACCTTCTGCTGCTGTGTCCTCCCTGGAGATGGAGCCTGGGCCGCTGGGGAGTCCCGTGGAGGCTGGTGACTTCCTGGCTCTGGGTGAAGCTGGGAGGGCACCCTGAGCTCTGGAGGGAGGGAGCAGGCACAGGTGCTGGGACCCTTGGCTGTGAGTAGAGCCTTTCCCCAGGTGGGGGCTTTTATTGGGCCTTATCATCTCCTCGGGGTCCCACCTTGCTGCCACACCCATTGCTGCCTCCAATCCCTGGGTGACTCTTCAGGCCTCCTGACCCACCCAGTTAATCCTCATTGGACCTTGACTCTGTCTGCATTGATTCTGTCAAGTATGCTGCCTGAGGGAAAAGCGGCTGATAGGATTCACCTTTGCAATTTTTGATTGTTATTTTGTTGTTTAGATTTTTTTTTTTGTCACTGGACTAAGTGGCCTTGTGGCTAAACTCCTTGCCATGAATGAGCCTGAATCCCATATGGGCTCAGGTTCTAATCCTAACAGCCCTGCTTCCCATCCAGCTCCCTGCCTGTGGCCTAGGATAGCGATTTAGGACTGCCCAAAGCCTTGGAATCCTGCACCCATGTGGGAGACCTGGAGGAACAGCACCGGCCATTGCGCTCACTCAGTGAGTGAATCATCGGACAAAAGATCTTCCTCTCTGTCTCTCCTCCTCTCTGTATATCTGAATTTGTAATAAAAATAAATAAATCTTAAAATATTTAATATCCAGAAGAGCTCCTGGCTTTGAATCAGCTCAGCTCCAACCATTGCCGCCACTTGGCGAGTGAACCATCAGATGGAATATTTTCGTC